GTTTGCCAAGTAAGCATCATAAAGTGAAATCTCAGCCTCTGTAAGCAGAGAAGTGAGGCATCCCCGAGTGTCTTGTCAGACAGCTCGAGTAGACTTTTAGTTTGAATTCGAACGTGGGTCCTATGGTTATCAGGTGCCAGAGCACCTTTCAGAAGGAAAACAGGACGAATGCTGACAGGTAGCTGAGAGATCCTTACACCTCTTCACATGAACTTACCTTCCATATCCCACTTCAGAAGGAAATGCCTTCTAATGGTAGGTACAGAGGTTCTCGAAAATTCTGAAGATTTTCCAGGTGGATGCAATCCGTGTTGTTGACACTCAAGTCCTGTCTCGTGCAGGTGGGTTTGGGCCCGTCTAGGTTCACCGCCAGAGCCAGCGCTTCGCTGTGTACTTCTCCGGGTTTACAGGTGGAGGGGGAGAGAGGGAATCACAAGCAGCTAGCATTTTAACCCAGTGCTGATGCCTGCGAGACTAAAACATGTGGGCAGTGCAGGTGGGGAGGAGGCCGGGAGCCACCTGAGACACCATTCAGTGATGCGACCGCATCACTGGTACCCTGGGCTCAAATGATAATTAGTCCACATGGAGCGAGGGAGCCAGAGAGCCAGAGCTGAAGGGCATCTCACCGTAAACCCCTGACCCATGCTCGGACCTCTTCTGAGCGCTTTTCAGCTTTTCGAGTTTTCTCTGGGGCCTCGAAAGGCTCCACAGGGCAGCTTCAAAAGTCCACTTCTGTTTGGACGTCCTAAGGGCTCCCAAGCTCGCTGGAGACGGTGCTACCGGGAGACAGGCAGAAACCAAGAGGACCTGGCAGCCACCATGACCAGATGTGCTGGCACAGGACCCCGGCAAGGGGGCCTGGGCAGCTCTGGTGTTGCTTCCATTGTTGTGGGGAAACCTTCCCTGCGACAGCGTATTGTTACCAGAGGAGGGACGTGCTTGCTCTTGTTAATACATATTCATCCTTCAAAAGATGGCAGAATGTACCCCCGCAAGCAATGCGTGTGTCATTCAAAACATTCTGAGCTCGCTTTTATTTTCCTGGACCTCTGGAAAATATTAAAACAATGTTTTGTGAGAGCTCTGGGGAAGAGAAGGCAGATGCCATATGTCTTCATTCAGCGGGAGTTGTCTTCTGTTTAGGCTCTGACGGTTCATACAAGAAGACCCAAGATATGAACTCATGCAAAATGAACACATCCAAACTGGAAAGAAAGAGATTAATCCGGGATGGGGAGATGAGAAGTTTCTATTCAGGGAAGACCAGGACCATGGAGCTGAGACACCATCGCGATGGGAGGACTCGCCAGGACAAACAGCACGCGGCCGCTCCCCCCCCAGACTCAGCAGATGACGCTCACTGGCCAGGGACCAGACACCCCGCAGCCGGAGGGCACGGCAATCTGCTAAAGCTGGGATTTTCTGCTGTGGCGGAGACTAAGTCGAAAAGGGTTGGATTTACGATTAGAAACAGTACAAATGAAATAAACAGACATGCGTGTCCATCCATTATACCTTGGGAATGGCTTTCCCGATTTAACTTCTGTCTTCTTGGCACAGGGACAAACGTGGCCTGTGTGGCTTTGGCTCAGCTAAGCCACATCCTCACGGAGACCCCCTGTCCGAGGCAGGAGGCAGTGGAGTTGAGTGGTCCAGAAGCGCGGGTTTGGGAGCTGAGCTCGAAGCCGTGCCTTGCCGAGCATTTAGGGGCCGAGCACTTGCTTACTCGGGCGTTCAGCTTCTCCAGGCGTTCTTTATGGAAGACGTAGACAGTACTGATACTATGGGATTATTATGATAATTAAACGAAGTATCCTAAGTTAAGGGCCTTCTGTAAGGTTTATGCTCCATAAACAGCAGTTGTTCCTGTCAGCGAGGTGTGAGGGAGCCCATGAGGACTCTTCTGTATTTGGCAGTAACACAGGCTTCGTGGTGGGAGTGGCGAGAGGGGAGGGGCACAGGGGGCCCGGCAGGCTCTCCTGAGGGGTTTGTCATGCTCGTTACTCGTGCGCCTCCCCCCAAAAGCGGCTGCTCTAGGGGGTCACTGGCACTGTCGTCGGCAATGTCTCGGCCCAGCCGATGTGTTGGGGGGCAAAGTCTGAGACGCGTTGCTCCAGGGTAGCTTCACGAGGGCCCCGCTGCCTCAGTCGGGCAGGTGGTGAAGGGTGCATGTCAGCACTGGCCAAACTCAGGCCCCTCACGGTGTCTGAGGCCCTGGGAGACTTGCAGCCCTGAGTGGGCGTGGATCTTCATTTCCAAGTTGAAGGCCTTGGAGAAAAATAAGTTCTGGGTCTTGCAGGTACAACCTCCAGTGCAAGGCATCCTCTCTGAGCGGAAGTGGAGGGGAGCTTAGAGCAATCTTTCCGCCGCGTGTTGAGAAGCAGCTGGGTAGGGCACACCCCCTTGGGGGGCAAAGAGTCGGGGGGGTAGTGTGCGCACCCCAGGCCAGCCCCCAGGAAGCCAGCCTACACCTCCCTCAAGGAGCGAGACGAGTTCCCCTGGCTCTTCAGTGCCAGGCTTACCAGTTCAAGAAGAAGCTGCTGGCTGACCGGGTTCCCCTTAAGAAACGAATTCCAATCCTGATGCTGGGCTTGGGGTGGAGGCCGCCTTAACCGGGGCTGTAACTATCACTTGTCACTTCTCTATCTGGTAGCCGCCAGCTACCGTCCCTGATCAGCTGTCAGGATCCCAGGGATAAACCTTTCACTCTAAATCCTTCCCTCTGGTCCCATAAGAACGCCTGGCTCATTCATTTTAAAACACTTGAACGTATTACACGCCATTTTTGGGTTGGGATCAGTACCTAGGCACTTCAAAGCTTTCCAAAGTTATTATATTTAATTTTACTAAAGTACATGTTAGAGATATACACCCCATATAAGGACGTCTTGCCTCTACAAAATGTCTCCAAAAAACATAAAAAATACTACTCAATATACATATTTTTTTAACAAAATAAAAGGACTTACCTGAAAGATCTGGCAAAGTTTTGCTGAGTACATTAAAAAGAAAAATCAAAGTCCTTAATTTATTGATCGTCCCCAGGAATCACTACATTTTTCAAATCTGCTGTTAGATGGGCTGTTCTTTCTTTAAAATTTTTTTTTTACATCTGGACTTGAGACATTAACCTATTCCATATGTGCCACAGACTGCAAATAAAGACCCGACCTTGGAAAACACAATGCCAAACGTTTCCTCTAAAGTTCGAGGCAAATGATACCCTTCTCACCTCTCTACACATTCCTTGACAACAGCAAAATTTCCATCTCCTATTGTCCTTCCGACTTTATACCGCTCTGTTATTGTGG